TAGATTGCATCCTGCGCTCAGATTTTGAGATAGTGCATTTTCGAAGGTTTATGGTGCATTTCAACGTGATGCATTTTCGCACCATTTTGGTGCATCTAATTTTGATGAAATCTTGACCCTTAGATCTCACAATCTAAAGCACCAGATTCATTCTCATTTCTCTCCTAAGATTGCATTCTCACCAGAACCAATATATATATATATATATATATATATATATATATATATATATATATATATATATATATATATATATATATATCGTCTTGAGACAAAAATCCGTCTCGATTTCTCGTCTCTGTTCGCGAGACAAATATCGTCCCAAAAAAGAGACGGAAATTGGTCTCTTCTTTACGTCTCACGTTTAGAGACGGAAATCCGTCCTTATGCTTCGTCTTTATTCTTGAGACAGATATCCGTCTCTTTTTTCTGTCTTGTTTTCACCTACATTCTTGTAGTGTCTATATTGTAATTCTAGCTAGTTTAGCATTTTCCCCCTCTTTAAAACAAGAATTAAAAACTACGGAGTACTTTCTTACATAAAATGACTAGTGAAAATAAGCAAAGCGGATAAAGTTTTATCTTATAAATAATGTCCCAGTAATTCATTTAGCAATTACTTCTAAAATTACCACATCATCTTCCGCACTTATGATCTCCAAGTTTCACTACACAAAGAAATCATGGACATTTTAATTCCCATACTATAGTTATAAGTTTTCGTGACAAACAGCTTTGTCATGGGCATTTTCTGTGTGGAATACACAAAAAATATGCATTTGTCATCGACGGTAGTTATAAAATTCCATGACCAATATCTTTGTTAGAGACATTTTATGTCCCGAAAAAGGTATGCAAAATTATTCATTAAGTATTCAACAGTTTTGACTAACATTGTCACAGAATTATCATGTCACACACCGTGACACTATAATAGGGGTATCTTTGGCATTCTTAATAATGAATAATTAAATTAAATGGACAGATAACTCGAATACGCACACAAAAGTCGAATGCAAAAAAGGGTTTTAATAGTTTTAAAATTAAAAAAAATAAAGGATAGTAACTACAAAAAAAGTTTGTATTTCGCTGCACTTAAAATTGTTTTTTGCCACACTTATAAATGTGGAAAACAATTTGCCACACATGCACTAAGTCTTGCTACGTAAATGTGAAGATATTTTTGCCACACTTTTGGACAAGTGTAGCTAATGAGTACACTAGGCACGCTTATATATGTACCTAAGTCTTTGTTTTGCCACATTTATGTGTTTTCAAAACATCACACATACAAAGATACCAAAATTTTAAAATTGTTTTAAATTCATAGAAAGCTTATGTGGGACTTGAACCCACATCTCTGCGCACTTTTGCACACGTACGCATCACTCTACCATTGAGCTAATAGGATAATAAAAATAGCTAAAGTAGTATAAAAATGCTAGTATGTTAGTGTAGATAGAGAGTGACTTCTTAAAAATCTTCATCATTTCTAATGAAGATTAATAAAAATACTCTTTATTAATAATAAGAGCCAAAAGCTCAAGAGATAGAACCATAGTACACAATTTATTGATGCTACACAGTCTACATAAAAAATACATTTAGGAGGTCTCTGGTAATAGTTGAGATGCTGGAAGTTTTAGAATAATTCTACGCCAATTCAACAGTTCAATAAACAATCTCAAAATAGTGGTCTATCATTTGAAATTAAAGGTTGATGTGTAAAACATAAATACTAGTTTTAGCTCACTAGTTAATCTAAGATAATGGAATAGAAATGAATCATAACTTTCACTAATCCAGTTAGAAGACAAAGATCTCACCAAGGTATAATGCTTGTTCCTCATCGATTGTTATTTGATAAAACAGTAGCCATATGAACTTTGCTGGTTCACAAAGACAGATTTGACAATGAGTAAAATAATCTTGAATTGGAGGAACATAGCATGCCCATGTTTAGATGGGTTACCAAGGACATTCGTGACAGTCTCATCTCTCATGTTTTCTTTTCAAATTACGCATCGATTATGAATGACCTTGTAGAAATTCCTATTCCTTCCTCTGTTGTATCTTGAATCTTTAGATTCTTTGCTCTAATTTATTACAGCATACAAGTATCATATTTGCAGCAAGCATCCTCAGAATTTCACTCTCCTATTCTTTCCATTTCTGAATTTATCTTCTACATCATTGCGGGATTTAGTTGTGAGTTCAATTTTTAAATCTAATGAGACATATACTATAGTGACCACTGCGGATATATGGAAAAGTAACGTACCAAATAATTGTACCTAAACCAGCAGGGAGACCAAAACAAGTAGGCCATTCTATTTTTTTCCTTAATTCAAATTTAAAATGCACAATTCAGCAGCAGCTAAACAGTTTTGCAAATAATTTTAGGTACTAATACTATATGCACAATTCAAGAACCTATCTAGGTACTCATATAACAGTTAAGTATTAGAAATAAAAAACGCTGAGGGCAAAGATGAGAAGTACTATATGTAGTTAGTAGAAAATAGTAGTTGATAACTCGGGTTTGGGTTAGTACTTTTTATCCAATTTTGGGCATTTTTTAATATTTTTAGAGTTTAATTTTTAGTAGTTTAGCTTAGTTTTCATTTTAATTCTCATTTTTATAATCTTTTTATTTTCTTTCAAAAATAGTAGTTTTTTAATCACTTTTTACATTTTATTATTTTTATTTTATTTTTCCTAACCCAAGTTATTAGATATCTTATTTTTTTGGAGAAAATTGCAGCAAAAGGCCAAAGTGCAGTTCAAGTTTAAAAAGAAGAGATCAAAATTGGGTTGAAGCCCAATCCATCATCAACAACAATAACCGGCCCTTTCCTCCTTTGCTTTTTAATTCGCACAAGTAAAAGAAAAAAAGTCTACGACTCCTTCTTCTTCGCCATCGTCAACGGAGCGCAGCGCCCAAATCAAACGCATAACTCCTCCAACGTTCGGCTCCATCAATTGCGCAGCAATCAATTATCAACGGGAAGAATTCAGCTCCTCCTTGCTATAAATTGAAGAGAATCGACACACATGAAAGGGGGGAAATATCACGCAGAGAGCCGCGGCTCTAGGCCGTGGCAACTGAGATTGAAGCCGCGCACCAGAGGAGGAAGCAGACGGCGGCGGACCACT